AATTAAACCCCCATTATTTTATTTTTAAATATTGTCTTCTTGTACCTAGTTTTACATACTTACTCCGCTCGAGTCCAGTCAGGAAATGTTCGGATATTTTAAAAGATATTGATAATAATCTTAAAATAGCTATAGAAAAATTCTAAAGTTAACTTTAAATACAACAGCTTGGACTCAAGCTACTTTACCTATAAAATTTGGTGGTATTGGTGTGAGAAATCTTTCTAGCGTTGCATTATCTGCTTTCTTTTCTTCCGTGCAGAGTTTCAATGACTTATGTAACATAATTTTAAATAATAAAGTATACCTGTGCTTTGCTATGGAGGCAGGGCATACGTGGCAAATGCTCTGTCCCGATGAAAATGTTCCACTGGGAGTTAACCAACAAAAACAGTGGGATATTCCGTTGGTACAGGTCGTGCAGAAAGATTTGTTTCATAATTTCTATAGTGACCAAGATAAGTCACACCTTCTAGCTGTTTCGACTAAGGAATCTAGTCACTGGTACACGTTTACCATCAAGTAATCTCGGCACATTACTTGATGGGGAAAGCTTGCGCATTGCCGTAGGAATCCGACTAGGAGCGGCGATTTGTCCACCCTATCAATGCCCCTGTGGTAGCAGCGTCGACAAGTTTGGGCTTCACGGACTTTCATGTAAGAAAAGTGCTGGTAGGTTTTCACGACACAGTTCTTTGAACGATGTCATCCGAAGGGCTCTTGTCTCTATACATATTCCCTCGGTTTTAGAGCCTTGTGGAATATATCGAGACGATGGCAGGAGACCCGATGGTTTGACATTGGTCTCTTGGGAGAGAGGTAAAGCCCTAGTGTGGGATGCTACTTGCGTAGACACTCTAGCGGCCTCTCATCTCAGGGGTACCTTATTTAGAGCCGGGGCCGCATCAGATGCAGCTGAACAGAGTAAGTGGCACAAATATGAGTCTCCGACAGATGACTACATATTTGTGCCATTTGCTCTAGAGACTATCGGTCCGTGGGGTTCACGTGCGGTGAAGTTCCTAAAAGAACTCCATCCGTGGCTGGTCGTTGCTGCTGGTGATAAGAGGGCTGGTTCTGTTCTCGCTCAAAGGCTAAGTATATACATTCAGCGGGGAAACGCAGCCAGCGTTTTACCGCGGGGAGTAGTACTATAATATGATAATTATTTTTTGTTTTGTTTTGATAATTAATCATTGTCGCCGTTATATTTATGGAGGAATTTGAGGAGAAAGCCCTGCTTACTTCTCCTGTAAACCCAAGATTCTACAAGCGGTACGTAGACGACACTTTCACAATTCTACCTTTAGATAAAGTAACTGCATTTTTAGACCATCTTAACTCCTTAAATTCTAAAATTCAGTTCACTATGGAGTTAGAGGCAAATAATTCTTTAGCTTTTCTAGATGTGTTAGTAATTCGGAATCCTGATAACACCTTGAGCCACACTGTGTATAGAAAAAAGACCCATACAGATAGATATTTAAACGGTGATTCTCACCACCATCGTTCACAATTAGCTACCGTGGGTAAACCTTTGTTTCAGAGAGCACGAGGGATCTGTGACAGTAAACACCTGGCCCCCGAGCTCCAACACGTCAAGCAAGTTTTGCACGACAATAAGCTTCGAGTTGTGTATCGCCAGCAACGCAAAGTCGGGAATTTGCATTTGGAAAAATCCAAAATTAGGGGCTTTTTAGGTGCTAATTAGGTGCTAAGTTTAAAAATTAGGTGCTCTAAAATTTTCAACGTAACGAACTGTTGAAATTTGCGTTGCTAGCAAAACGTCTCGCTAGCAACGCAATGAAGTTATTAGATATACGAAAAATATTAATAGCAAGGAATTAAGTGCTAATTATGTGCTGCAAGTATACGCAATAACAAGGCGCCCCTAATAAAAATAAAGTCGTTATTCGGAACATAGCAGATGCAAAATTCAGATTTCCTGAAAATCAAAAAAGAATCAAAATTGCTTTCAGAAAAAGTCCAAATTATTAACTTTTTAGGTGCTAATTAAGTACCAAGTTTAAAAATTAGTTGCTCCAAAATTTTCACCGCAACGAACCATTGAAATTTGCGTTGCTGGCAAAACGTATCGCTGGCAACGCAATGAAGTTATTAGATATACGATAAATATTAATAGCAAGGAATTAAGTGCTAATTAGGTGCTGCAAGTATAGGCAACGACAGGGCGCCTCAGATAAAAATTAAATCGTTATTCAGAAAATTACTCAGCAAAGCAAAATGCAAAAATCAGGTCTTTGTCTTTGTGCCATCTAGCGTCTATCGCACTTACCACCTTTAGAGTCCATCGATTTTGATTCGATAAAATGACTAGTTGTAGATGGCGCTATTTATTACAAAGAAATTTACTGGAAAAAAGTATCCTTTCGATTTAGTACAATAAAAAAAGTTATATAAAATGTTTGCTATAAAATTAAACTTCTATCGTTCTATCGTATATATTATATCGCACTTGCACGGTTGAAAGTTATATTAAATCAATCGTTTGCTGGAAATCTTTTGAAGTGTTATTTTTAGTAAATCCTACGATGAAATATAAATGATATTTTTAATTCATATTTGTTACAAATAAATGTAATAAAATGTAAAATAAATTTTAAACTAGGTAACGATTAAACAATTGTTTTAATATAATAATAAAAAAAACCTAATGAATGGGTATTGAGTGGTATCGAGCTACAAAATTTTGCGATTTCATCCCTTAGATTATTTACTCGTTTCACCCTTGCGTCCCGCACGGAGACGGAGTAGTACGGCGAACGGCGGAACTACAAATACAATCTAATACCACAGTCTATAAATCTATACTGTGCTTCTACTAGGTATAACTCATTTGGGGTCAATGTGCGGTCGAGTCAAGCAGAGCGTGATCGCTTCAACGACAAAACATACTACAGTGGATTTCGGGTATAACGACGATGAAGGGACCACTCTATTTTCGTCGTTATATCCGGAATTCGTTACAGGCAAAGGTAACAAATTCAATACATTACAGTTGCTACTCAGAATATCACTTTGTAACTGAACCATAAACTTAACTCCGAAACGTACACGCTTCCTTACCTACTTAGCTGATATCTATAAACAATATGTAAAGGTCTCCACACTTGCTGACCATCTATATGGATGTAAACAAAAGATAAGAAATGTTTGTGAAAGAAAGAAATCTTTGTGTCTTTGGCGGCTGACTCCGGTCGCAATATCTGCATGGGATTTCTAGGAATTTGTTACAAATGATTCATTAAAAATAGTCGCTACACCCGAACTCGGCGTTGCATCCAAAGTCGTTATAGCCACATGAATTTTGTACTAAAATATGCTTTAAATTCAAGGGACTTAGATTGAACGTCTCTATAGGTAAATGGTCGCTACAACCAAGGTCGTAATAAATGAAATCCACTGTATTTCATTCTTTATTCTTCTAATTATCTTTGTAAGCTCATACAGCTTACAAAGATAATTAGAAGAATAAAGAATGAGAATAAAGAATAAGAATACATCATAATGTGTCTATATATAGTTTCTGGGGTACCGTACTTAGTTATGTACATAAAAAATATGTAAATATACATATTATTATTAGTTTATCATTTTAACTATTTATAAAAGTTTTAGTAAAGTCTGGGGGCATCACATTTTTGGGGGTTTAGCGAGGCCCCTTTAAGAGCGAGGCCGTAGGCGAGAGCCCACTTCATCCACGTCTAGCTACGCCACTGCTTACAATCATGTATGTAATGTAACACAATTAACAACATAAAACAAATTAGAAATAGCTTGGTAGTGATCACCTTATTATTCCCAGGGGTTATTATCATCCATAAATTCCTTAATATTGTTACGAACTTGGGGTTCGAGACAATTAAAAACTGCCGATTGAATTACCAAAATTAACACTTTAATTACACAACACTAATTACACTCTAAAATCACACTAATAATAAAACACAGTTCGCCGTTATTTCGCTTCGAAGTATTCTCTTGTATCGCCAATTCAATACTGCCCCGGTCGTGGTCTATACCGGCCTTATATAGGGCCTCAGATAGTTTCCAGAACCTTCTACTGTAGCGACATCTAGAATGTTCGAGTACATATCGGTCCCGAAATTTCTGGAAGGATCTCGACTCTCCTAGTTCTGCTACTCGACACTAGAGGGCGCTAGTGTGACTAGTGTTGCCATGTACAAGACATTAATAGTGGCGCGCAATACTTTCATTTACTCGACACTAGGGGGCGCTAGTGTAACTAGTGTTGCCATGTACAAGACATTAATAGTGGCGCGTAACACTGCCCCCTCCTAAGACATGCTCGTCCCGAGCATTATTGGCCCCATAATAACGCGCCAGTCGATCCACATGGACAATCTTAGGAGTACCTCTGGCACCTTTCTGTATCCGGTAGGTTACATCATTGATCCTTGTCACAATCCGGTACGGTCCGTCCCATTTAGCTTGAAGCTTAGGAGATTTCCCTTTGCTGCGAACTGGATTGTGTAACCACACTAGTGAACCTTCATCAAAGCCCTTGTTGTTCATTTTGCGGTCATACCGTGTTTTCATCTTCTCAGACGTTTGCTGGCCCGTCTGTCTGACGTGCTCATAAATGTCATTCATTTTGTTCCGCAAGTCATTTGCATAATCAGTTATACTGCGTGGGGCATCAGGTGGTATTCCGGTGATCAGGTCTGCAGGCAGCCGCAATTCTCTCCCAAAGTTTGCGAAAGCTGGTGTCACTGATGTACTTTCGTGAACAGCGCTTCGATATGACAACAAAAACGGTTGTATGTGCCTGTCCCAGTCTCGTTGCCGTTTTACCACAACTTTTGCTAGGTACCTCTCCAATGTCTGATTAAATCTTTCTACCATTCCATCAGATTGTGGGTGGTAAGAAGTTGTTCGTGTTTTCTGAGTACCCATAACTCGGCAAGTTTCCTGGAATATTTGAGACTCAAAATTCCTTCCTTGATCGCTGTGAATCTCTAAAGGTACTCCAAAACGAAGACTTCATGAACTAGTTTATCTGCAACTGTTGAAGCTTCTTGATTTGGAATGGCGAAGACTTCTGGCCACTTAGTGAAGTAATCCATCACTACCATGAAATACTTGTTACCACTTTCAGTTTCTGGAAACGGCCCCGCAACGTCAATGGCTATCCTCTCCCATGGTGCACCAACATTGTACAATTTCAATGCGCCTCTACTACGAATTTGAGGTCCCTTTACAGCCGCACAACTTGTACATTTGCGGCACCAGTCCTCAACATCGTCACGACAGTGGACCCAGTAAAACCGTTCTCGGATCTTCAGGAGAGTTCGTTTAACTCCCAGGTGGCCTCCTGAACAACCACTATGGTACAGCCGTAGAATATCCGGCACTTTAGCCTTAGGGACAACCATTTGCAAATGACACCTGTCTCCCCGACCATTTTCCCATTTACGGCACAGGACTCCATCCTGAATCAGCAAGCTGTCCCATTGGGCCCAATAGCTTTTCGTGGTCGAACTCATCGCTGAGACGTCGCTCCACTTGGGCTTAGGAGCACTGGCCTTCATCCATTCCAGAATCGGCTTAATGTCCGAATCTTCCTGCTGTGCATGTTGTAGGCTGTCCTTCCACTCATTGCTGAGCTGGTCTGTCCTGAGCATTCTCACAGATACCACTTCCTTACCCTCTTGCCTAGTACAATGCTTGCAATCTTCAGGGCAAGGTCTTCTTGACAATGCATCTGCATTGCCATGAGATTTCCCGCTGCGATGTTCGATCACAAAGTCGTATTCCTGCAGTAGTTCTATCCATATCGCAACTTGTCCTTCCGGATTTTTGAACTGCAATAGCCATTTCAGTGCAGCATGGTCAGTTCGTAAGTGGAATTTCCGCCCTAGAAGATATTTGCTAAAATGCTGCAAGGACTTTACCACAGCAAGCAATTCCCGTCTTGTGACACAATAGTTCCTTTCCGGCTTTGACAACGACTTGCTGAAGTACGCTATCACAATCTCTTGATCACCATTCCGTTGAGACAACACACCGCCAAGTCCTATATCACTTGCGTCTGTGTCAACTATGAATTCCTTGCCCGCATCAGGGTACCCCAAAATAGGTGTTTTGCACAGGCGGTTCTTGAGCTCCTGGAATGCAATATCGTAACTTTCATCCCAGCAGAATAGTCGCTTCTCCTCGGTTAGCTTGTGCAGAGGTTTGGATATATCTGCAAAGTTCTTCACAAATCGCCGATAATAAGAGCACAAACCCAAAAATGCTCTAACCTGTGTCTTGTCTTTTGGGACCGGCCACTCCTTGACAGCAGCAATTTTCTCTGGATCCGTACGGATACCTTCTTCCGACACTACATACCCCAAAAAACTAACTTGCCGTTTGAATAGTGAGCACTTCTTTGGACTCAACTTGAGGTTGGCACTCTGGATCTTCATAAGCACGCGTTCCAGGTTTTGAAGGTGCTCCTCAAACGTACGGCCTACGATGATGATGTCATCCAAATAGAGGAGACAGGCATCTCCAATTAGCCCGGTAAGTACAAGCTCCATCAACCTTTCAAACGTTGCTGGAGCATTGCACAATCCAAACGGCATGACTTTAAATTGCCACAGACCCTTTCCTGTGGAAAATGCAGTTTTCTCCTTGTCCTTAGGGTCAATTTCAACCTGCCAGTAGCCACTTTTCAGGTCCAGCGTACTAAACCACTTTACGCCTGTGAGCATATCCAGCGTGTCATCAATTCTAGGCAAGGGATAGCTGTCCTTCTTCGTAACGTCGTTCAGGCGGCGGTAGTCAACACAAAACCGCATGCTGTCGTCCTTCTTCTTTACCAGCACCACAGGTGAACACCATGGACTAGATGAAGGTTCAATAACACCATCCTTCACCATTCCCTCAATCATGGTTTCCACTTCCTTTTCACGTGCTATAGGCAATCTTCTTGGCCGCTGACGAATAGGCAATTCTTGTCCTGTGTTTATTTTGTGTTGAACTAAGCCAGTCTTTCCTATGTCAGCTTCGTTTGACGAGAAAACATTGGCGTACTTGAGTAACAACTTCTTCGCCTTGACCATTTCATTCGGGGAGAGAACGCTGCGACAGTCTTCTAAAAGTGTGGTCACTCTCGTTTGTCCATCCTTGCTAGGGGTTCCGGTCGATAGATATTCGCACCGACGCAACCAATCCACTTCCTCACTAGTACCAACCAATGTGCCTTTTTCTATAATCTGTTCCTGATCACAAAGGTTCAACACACGTACTCCTGAGATGTCGGTGGTTCTGACCAAGGTTCGAGCCACTTTCCATGGAAGGTCATTGTCTACCCTTTCCACGAGTACACAACGATGAGCTTGCCCAGGACTCCGAGGAAGACTAACCGGCACAATCGTTTCCGATCTCGGCGGAAGAACAATCTTCTTAAGGCTGTACACATTCCCTGGTAACGCCCCTTCCATGAAAAGTTCTTCTTGTCCACATTTCAAAACACCTTGCTTAACGTCGATCTCACAACAATTCTTCCTCATAAAGTCTAGGCCCAGGATGCAGTCGTCCATTATATCAGCCACGATGACATTATGCAGGTAGATCATGTTGCCTAGCTTCAACTCCATCTCCTTCTCTCCACGGACGGGTATGCGCTGACCAGTGGCTGTCACCAAATTAATGCGTTCTCGGTTGTATGCGGAGTCACCAAGGAACCGACTTATAAGTTGGGAACTGACAACCGTGCGAGAGGCTCCAGTGTCTATGGTCAGCTTACATGGCGTTCCGTTGACTTCGCCCTTGATGATTAGGCTGTTCCCATCATGAGTTTGTGAGATCGAAATCCTTGGGGCTCTTTTAACATCAGCCAGCACCCGCCAGTTTCCCTGCTGCTGCTGGGCGGTGCTATTATCCGCACTACCCTCTCGAGATAGATCACCTTCCCTTTTTAAAGTTCGCTTAGGGCAGCTGGATCGAAGATGGCCCCTTTCTCCACAGCCGTAGCACCTAGGGCTGTAGCTTTTATTGCGGTCCTGAACTTTAGCTGCTGCAACCTCCCTGACGCGGTGGGAACGATGATCCTGCCGCACGGCTTCCACCTCCAGTGCATGGGTCAAGGCGTCCTTAAGCGTCTCGTGGTGCCCGAGCCTCACAGCAGCTCTGACTTCAAGGTCGCGGATGCCGTCGATGAATGTCTGCACCAGGTTCCCTACAATAAGCGCAGGTACAGACTGGTACGCTTTTCGAACCAGCTTCTCCACCTCAAGGGCCCACTGCTGCAGGTTTTCGTTACTGCGTTGCACGCGATCTTTGAGCTGCGCACGAAAGACGTGGTCCAGGTGAGTGTCGCCATATCTCGCCTCCAATGCCTCAAGGAGCTGCTCGTAAGTCACTTCCTTACCGAGAGCTTCCAGAACAGTTAATGCCTGGTCGCGCAGGCCTAGGGTGAGAGCAGTCATGGCCTGACTTTTATTCCAGCCGTTCGCTTTCATGACAGCCTCGAACTGGATTTTATAGGCCGACCAGGAAGAAGTCCCGTCGAACGGTGGCACTTTGAATCCACGTAGCGAAGGTGTTGTAGCTACCACGGGAGCTGTAACTCCATCCCCAAGTTTGAGGTCGTTCAGCGTTTTCTTCACATCAGCCATCACGTTGTCAACCCGATTGTTCACTTGGTCGATTCGGGTTTCAGCTTCCGACAGGCGGTTGTCATGTTGAGCAACCCTATCCTTCACCTCCTTTATCTCTTTCCCGAAGGTAGCGTGAAGGTCCTTCCTGAGGAGCATCTGTTCTTCCATACCGCGCTGCAGATGCTCTTCCAGCCGAACGGTCTGTTCCTCCTGTTGGCGGGCCTGTTCCTCCTGTCGGCGGGCCTGTTCCTCCTGTCGGCGGGCCTGTTCATCCTGTCGGCGGGCCTGTTCCTCCTGTCGGCGAGCCTGATCCTGCAGCATCATCATCAGAGCACCTAAGTCAGGTGCTGCAGATGCAGGAGCTGCTGACGGGCCAGCCTCCGTGGTTAGCAACTGGCCCTCCGACGTTTGCGGCGTTGCATTACCAAATCGTCTCTGGTCCGTCTCCTGTTGGCGTTGACTTCGGGTACGGATACCCTCCGTGTCGTCTTTAGGTAAAATCGGCATATTTGATCCCACTTCTGACACCAATTGTTACGAACTTGGGGTTCGAGACAATTAAAAACTGCCGATTGAATTACCAAAATTAACACTTTAATTACACAACACTAATTACACTCTAAAATCACACTAATAATAAAACACAGTTCGCCGTTATTTCGCTTCGAAGTATTCTCTTGTATCGCCAATTCAATACTGCCCCGGTCGTGGTCTATACCGGCCTTATATAGGGCCTCAGATAGTTTCCAGAACCTTCTACTGTAGCGACATCTAGAATGTTCGAGTACATATCGGTCCCGAAATTTCTGGAAGGATCTCGACTCTCCTAGTTCTGCTACTCGACACTAGAGGGCGCTAGTGTGACTAGTGTTGCCATGTACAAGACATTAATAGTGGCGCGCAATACTTTCATTTACTCGACACTAGGGGGCGCTAGTGTAACTAGTGTTGCCATGTACAAGACATTAATAGTGGCGCGTAACAATATTATAATAACCCTTTTTATACAAACTTAGTTTAGTAAAGTTTTTGAACTTTGAGCAGGTTTTGTATATTTACTGGGATTTATTCCCAGGGGTTATTATCATCCATAAATTCCTTAATATTATAATAACCCTTTTTATACAAACTTAGTTTAGTAAAGTTTTGAACTTTGAGCAGGTTTTGTATATTTTTTGGGATTTTGTTAAGTTGTGTGTATATTGTGTGTAAGTGTGTGAGTGTAATATATTAAGTTAATGCTCTCATTGAATAATATTAACAATATTGAGAACACAATAAAATATGTTCTCAATTAGCGAGTAACTTTTTATGGGTATTTCATACCGTTAAATTGTTGATTTTTACTTTAAAATAAATAATATATTGCTACATGACTATTATAATGACTGTTTTTCATTAACATGCATTACCTATCAGTATATGTATAAAAAATTTATACCAGATTTCAGTATAAAATAAAAAAATTAACATGTCTAAATAAGTTTCGGTTTCGGTTTCGACCGAAACTGACACCCGGACCGAAGGTTCGTTTTCGGTTTCGGTTGAAAATCCTGTTTCGGTCGGACACTAGTTATAATATATAAAACCCGGCTTGGTTTTATATATTAAGATAAAATGATAAATTAAAATAAATCGTACAAAATTTTGCACGCACTGCGTTATGAAACAACAAATGGAGAATGAAATAGACATAGGAAATAGACATGTATCAATTATGAATGATTCGTTCGTTTGAACTGGGACACTTTACTTAAAGGTATTGATGATTCAACTTTACAAAACTATTTTGCCTTTCGTGGATTGTAGGACATTTTTATGAGATGTATCCCAGCCGCCAAATTTCACGAACGCACATCGCGGCAGAACTCCCGATATCATCCACACCATCTGGATGATTGGCGGTCCACCACTGTGCGATTTAGAAGATATTTTCTTCCTCGCACGACTTCCTTGTGTGTTGATTACCATCAGCGATTTTTCCGGACCGATACGACTTAGGGACCTTCAAGAAAAGAGCGTACTCCTTTTTAAAAGGCCGGCAACGCATCTGCAATTCCCTCCCTGGTATTGCAGTTGTTCATGGGCGGCGGTAGTCACTTACCATCAGGTGAGCCGCATGCTCGTTTGCATATAAAAAAAAAAGATACGAAAACTGTCAATTAATTATTTATTTAATAATATATCAAGATTTCAAATATAAACCCTAACACACAGTTTAAGTTGAAATTCAGACCACTATGTAATCAATTTAGGTATGAACGGTAAAATAACGTAGGTATTAATTTGTCGTATTTGTTTATTTTTGAACAAAAACTTTAATATAAATTGGTCGATAAGCTATGAAATCGTGTATTGTTATGAATGAATTGGACAAACATCATAACTTTATTCAATATCATTTTTTTTATTTATTTAATAAAATTGTTTATTTTAAATAAATAAAAATTAAAATAAATCAATTTTTGGTGTTTACGCCATCTAGCGTAATTTATACCTACCACCTTGAGAGTCCATCGGTTTGGGTTCGATAAAATAATTAAAACTATAGAAAGATGTAGAAGGCGATATTTATTATGAAGCAATTTTACTGGAAAGAATTATTTTGATTTCGTACACTAAAGTTTAGGCTTCACATGTCTTAAAATAAGAATTGTAACATTTATTTGGTTGAAAATTATATTAAATAATATTATAGATTACATTAAATCTGAAAAACAAAAAATGCCGTTCATACCTTATAATAAGGTAATGGTGGTTAAAAATCCGATAATTTCCAGAATATTACCTCTATACTACCTCTACATGCAACCTCAATAATCTTTCAGCACCTAATTAGCACTTAATTTTAGGCACTGATAACATCAATCACTAATATTTTTATTAGTGATCGATGACTGATAAAGAACAAAAAATACCGTTCATATATGTACATTATGGTAAGGTAATGGTGGTCGTGGACCCTATAATTCTCAGAATAATATCTTAATCTGTATCGGGTCTCGATAATCGCTCAGCACTTAATTAGCACTTAATTCCTTGCTATTAATATTTATCGTATATCTAGTGACGTCATTGCGTTGCTAGCTTGCTAGCGAGACGTTATGCCAGCAACGCAAATTTCAATGGTACGTTGCGGTGAAAATTTTGGTGCAACTAATTCTTACACTTGGTACTTAATTAGCACCTAAAAAGCCCCTAATTTGGATATTTTCTGAAAGCAATTTTGATTCTATTTTGATTTTCAGGAAATCTAAATTTTGCATCTGCTATGTTCTGAATAACGACTT